TGGCTCCTTGTTAGTGACCTATTGTACAATTTTTCCAACACAAGTTCCATGATCCTTTGAACTTGGCTGCACCGTACTGATGAAGACCAATAGTCAGAAAAACGTGTCGACCGTTACTTCTTTTTTACTTTTTTTTTATTCGGAAAATGTCCACTATTACTACCTTGATACAATAATATTAGTTCCGTTCTAAGTAGGTACATATTATAGTTTGTATGTTTTATGCTTTATTTTATTATATGTAATAAATGATAGAAAATATACTTTTATAGTAAATAAATTGATTAAAGCAATATGTAAGAATAAGTTTATCTAAGGATTAAATTGTTAAAGCAATTTTTCATATCCATTGTTTATTAATTTGTTTCATTTAATTCTTTCTTATTGAGTAAGTTATTTCATATAAATATGCGATACTTGTAAAATGTAATATTTTCTTTTAAATAGGTATATATTATATTTGTATAAAATATTGTTCAGTTAATTAAAACAGAAATATTTTGTCTTTTATTCAAAAGAAGTTTGTAAATTTTTCAAAATATATTTACCTACCCCAAAAAAAGATTAATAAAACCAGTTAGTCATATACACATTTTCTATATATTTATAGAGGTACTTTTTAAATAACTTTCAATACATTCGAAATCTGTGGTTTTATTAAACTCAATGTAACAAATAATAATAGGTATTCTCAAAAATATTTAAAAATAAAATCGAGATGGGACTCTTGTATAATTTAGTGACTATTCGCCTATGGTTAGTGCACTGCTGTATGTCCCTGGGTTTTCTACTTTAGAACAATACTGCTTCTCCACTCTAGCAGTATTTTTTGCATCTCAGATTATATTTATTAAAAAACCAAGGAATTATTTTGGGCCTATTGCTGTGCCCTTTTCCAACATTCCCAAATTTTTTTTTTACTTTCTGCTGATTGGATCTCCGATAGCGACAACTCCATTTGTTGTTCCACTAGTTTTTTATAAAATTTTTAAAATAACTTCTATATATTTATCTTTTGCAATGACTTTGCTTACCTGCTTCATAATTTCTTCCCTATGCCCCAATTTCTCTAACAGGTGAGATCTTATACTCGCTCTATTAAATCAAATTATCATTATAGTTTATTTGAAAATGCTTGGTAGCACAGTTTTTATGGCAAAGGTCCATATTTTTATATAATTTTGCTATTATTCATTTTCAAATAAACTATATAGGAATAGGAGTAATCTATTAGTTTTTCTAAAAATACCTTGTTACCGATGTAAGTATATCTTTCCCTAGTTAAAAAATTCGAGTTTTTATTTTCATAATATAATATAAATAAATGACCGGTTAACAATCACATTCTTTTAAATAGTACATTTGACATTGAAGTAGGTATTTTCTCCATATTGCCAAACAGGAACAGATGGTTTACTTGTAATTTGAATTATATTACATAAATCTCACTGAATTTCTCTATAATTCTCATAGCAATATGTACACAAACCACTTATCCAATAATATATAACCATGTAAAAATAACATTTCAAGAACGAGAAATTTTATAAAACCGGTCCTGTCTGAACAGATCTAGGAAAATCAAATAGGTTTGTCAAAGTTTTGTTCTTAATTTGAAATTATAACTAATAACAAAGTGCAGATTATATTATTATATTATTATTATATTAATATTATATAAAAATCAGTGTAGCCAAAACATAAATTTACCTAACATGGCGATAAGCTTGAATGGGGTCATTTTTTTGTATTGACAGTATACGCCAAGCGGTATCTAGACTTTCTGAGGGCTATGCCTATAACTTTTGGTAAAGTTTTTGCGTCATTATTAAAAAATCTTGGTAAATCGAATTACTATGGAAAAAGTTAAAAAATATACATTATGCAGACATTGTGAACAACTCTGTGATCTCAAAGTGTATCACACAAATTTAAAATATTTGTCGTACCTCATTGATGAATGTAGTTTGGAGTGCAGTTTATAAAATCCTGAGGAAAATCTATTTAGTACAATACAGAAGAATTTACTCAATGTGTCTACCAAGTTTTCTCGGATTATAAAGTTAAGTTTAACCGAATTGTTTCAAAATATTATATTTATTTACTTAAGCATAGACATTTAGTTAATACGAGTGTCCTTTCTTACTCGCCACTGAAAAAAGAAGATTTTTTAATTGATTTTGAAAAACATTTAATAGATGTAATTAATAATAAAAAAATTTAAAAAAAAACAGAAGAAGTAGTAATTGTTTAATTTTGATTTGCACAAAAAGTAAACAAAAAGTCTTATATGAATGAAGCCCATTACAAGTGTCATTATTTTGACATAAAAATTTTCACTTATTAATTTCGTCCAGAGTACCCTGGAGGATGAAAATTTCCGGAATTTTTTTGGGTTACCATGGTAACCAAACAAAAAATAGACTCTGATTGGCTTAAAAATGGTGGTGTGCAATTTTCTATAATATAATTTTTTTAATATCTACGTATAGCACACGGACGAAAAGTGTATTTTCGAACTCCTACGAGTCGCCCTTAAAACTCAACTTTTCGTCCTTATAACATAAACTACTATTATTTTAATATAAAAAACAAAATAAGTTTTTATCTGTCAGGCCGTTCCTTCGAGGTGCGTCGATTATACCTGTAAACAAAAATGTGGGTGGGCTCTGAGATCGGAAGGTCTCAGGATCGAATCCCACCGGTGACAGGAATTTTTATTTAATAAAAAAAAAATAAATATGAATTCTAATGCATAGGTAGGATTCCCCACTCGACCATTCACTGTTGGATTCTAATTAACAGTGCTGTTCCTAAAGTGGCGCTGGGAAACAGTAACAAAGCCTACACAGAACAAGAGGCTAATGGCCGCAGTAGTCGACGCCGATGACACCAAATTAAAAAAAAAATTTGTTCGAATACACCAGACGAAGGAAGGCTAGTCTTAAATTTTAGGAACTTTTTGTGTTGGATATTCTTTATTGCTAATTTGTAGATTATAACGTTTATCTTCTAAATATTCACAATCAATTTACACTTCGCGACAGGTCAAAGTTTGAGTCACCCGTTCGCGCCGGCGTAGTTTGGTCTCTAAAAGGACCCGAGACTAATATTGGTGATTCGAATACGAATCCTTTAGGATCCACGGCGAATACGGATCATGGATCCTTTTTTCTTAAGTATTCGAATACCGCTCTCGGATCCTCCCCAGCTCTGCTATTTAGACAAAATTACTATTATTCTGTTATTTATTAAAACACATTATTGTTTAGTAAACATGTACATGCAAAAGTCTGCCATGAGGGTAGGACAGTAGCGAGAGCAAGAATACTTTGGAATGTGCTGTTAAATACACTTAGAAAGGGTCATATGGAGAATTAAGTGTGATAACATTTTACGATTTGTATCTCACTATTTTAGTTCACAGATTTCTGTGTTCTGTATTCAATTATGTGCTGCTATTTCAAACTTTTAGTATCCTTTGATAAAAGAAGTTGAATATTATTGTTGATCTCTTTAAACTGTTTATTTTACCTTATACATTTTTTTCTACTCTTTATACAGTATTCTGTAAAGAGTATTTATTTGTCAAAAACGAAAAAGAGGACAAGGCAATAGAGGGTTAAGATGGGTTGAAATTAAAAAAAAAACCTAAATTAAAAACGATATCAACATGAAATTTTTAGTAAAAATTAGGCTTTATAAGAAGAAGATTGATACTGAAAAAATATAAATATATTGGGCAGTTAAGGGGGGTTAAAATATTAAAAATATTAATAATATTAAAACTGGAAAACGAAAAATTATATCAACTTGAAATTTTTAGCAAACATTTTAGTTATTTTAGTTTGTATCTGTGTAATAGTATGTATTGTTATCTTATAAAATAAACATTAAAAACATTTTAGTTCTTATTTTATTTGCCAATAAAAGGTATTTAAAAAATATATTTTTTATTTGACATCTGTGACAAATTGTGAAAATGATTAAACTTACAATAAAAACTGAAAAATCGTAAGTAAAGTTTCATATAATATTTTTTACACAAAAATCAATATCAAGCTTTCTGCATAAACGGATACCTATATATTTAAAAATAATCTCAAATTATGAAGAAAAGTCAGTTTACTAAATAATAATGTTTATAGATGGTTAAAACAAATATTACACTAACTAAAATATTTATTTATTAATAGTTGTAGTGCTTGAAAACAGTATAACAGTATATGTTGATAATAATAACTACACTTAATACAAACTCAAATAATAAAAAAAAACAAATGATAAAATTATTGGAAAAAGTGAACACCCATTTTAAATTACCATGAGCCGCCACTGATTTTGGATATATTTTTTTAATAAATAAATGATAAAATGAATTCAAAATAATTGATCGAAATTACTGTATGTAAAAATAACAAAGTGTACAGACTTGAAACAAAATAAATTCAAATCACTTGCGTACAAGTATCTTGTAAACAGTAGAAAAGGATATATATCTTGTTGGTGTCACCCTCTAGACTAGTCGAAAAAGTTTTTAACGTATTTTTTTAATTTTTATTGAGAAAAATAAATGCTCCTGTAGGTAAAAATTAAATATATTGCTCCATTCTAGCATTTTTATTCCTATTTTTTTTTTTTTTTTTTTTTTTTCGATAGGAAGATATCTCCTTAGATTTTCTCATAAGAAACCGATTCAAATGTTCAAAAACCGATTCCAGAGGGGTACGGGTTAAGCCTTTAGCAAAAGTTGAGAAAAAACAGATTGAAATTTAAAAAAAGTGGTTCCAGAGGAGCATAAATTTAACCTTTATCTACACGTACCTATTTTTTTCTTTTAAAAATAGTCATAAATAAATTTTAAAAGTGGGGTACTACGAAACTATTACATGCTCTGCTCTAAAGCCAAGTAAATACTCCTCTTAATCAAAACCAGGGTTACATTATTTAAATATAAAAATATATGTAGAAATAATGGTAAATTTCATAAAAGTATTTACCTGCTGGAAATCTCCTGGAACATTCTTGAACTAAATCCACACCATTCAGCAAAGCCTCCTTAAACTCTTCGATATTGTCACATTGAGGAAACTTTCCGGCTATTCCAGTAATCACAATTTGATCGTTGTCTTCCATTTTCTGTAAACGAGTGCGATTTGTTTGTTTGTTTTTGTTTTGTTCACTTTGAGATCCGACGTACAGGTAAACCAATCCGGATCTGATGACTCCCTAAACTAAACAGAATTAGTGGTTAAGTATATAGGTATTTATAATAGACTTGAGGTTAAAAAGCCAGTTGCATAAATTAGCAATTTTAAATTTTTTTCATTTTAATTAGCGCCTGAAATAATTGGTGATCGTAGCGAATGAGGAAAAATTACAGAAGCAGAGACGGATTCGACGTAGATGGGCAAGCTGCTTTTCTTTGAGATAGGAAAAAACGTCTCAAATAAAAGTTTTATCAATATACAGGGTATGCCGTAAATGTGTAAAAGTAACGAAAGAAGTGACAAAAGAATGAAGTAACAAAAGAAGTGAGGGAAGAAATAACAAAAGAATTACCAAAAGAAGTAATGGAGCAACAGGAGAATTAAATAAAAATACGTGTGGCACTCGGGGACTGCCGCGGTAAAGCTATTGCATAGCATTTTTTATCAACTTATGCAATTATAATTATTTATTTATTTTATTTATGCAGTATTTATTTTTCTTTGATATTAATTCAAGTTTTTTCTTTGATATTAATTCATGTTACACTTTTTGAGCGTGGTGACCGATAAGAAACATTTTTTTTTTATTGAATAAATGAGAAGTTAATATTGTTTAAAATATTTTTATTACCTTACAATACATGTAGGTTATTCAGGAATTTTTATCATTGAAACTATAGGTTTATGGTAACTGAAATAAGAAACATAAGTTTGAGACTTGATATCCTCTAAATATCTGGAAAACACCGCGTCAATGGTGGTCCCATATTTTGTTGTGGATTCTTGTGGATCATTATTCATTTTCAATTTCAATTTTTCCGAAATTGTGTCTAAAAGAGATGGAATCAGTTATGAGCAGTTAGCAACTAGTCTACACGCATACGTCTAGTCGCACGCCGTGCCGAAGTTTGCCGAACTGAAACGACGTTAGACGATACACGGCTTTCAACGCCGCACCGCTGTGTCGGTCGGAGTGGGGGGTGTTAGATTTTTTCGATTTTTCGCTTTTTAGATTTTTCGATTTTTCGATTTTTCCATTTTTCGATTTTTCGATTTTTCGATTTTTCGATTTTTCGATTTTTCGATTTTTCGATTTTTCGATTTTTCGATTTTTCGATTTTCGATTTTTCGATTTTTCGATTTTTCGATTTTTCGATTTTTCGATTTTTCGATTTTTCGATTTTTCGATTTTTCGATTTTTCGATTTTTCGATTTTTCGATTTTTCGATTTTTCGATTTTTCGATTTTTCGATTTTTCGATTTTTCGATTTTTCGATTTTTCGATTTTTCGATTTTTCGATTTTTCGATTTTTCGATTTTTCGATTTTTCGATTTTTCGATTTTTCGATTTTTCGATTTTTCGATTTTTCGATTTTTCGATTTTTCGATTTTTCGATTTTTCGATTTTTCGATTTTTCGATTTTTCGATTTTTCGATTTTTCGATTTTTCGATTTTTCGATTTTTCGAGTTTTCGAGTTTTCGATTTTTCGATTTTTCGATTTTTCGATTTTTCGATTTTTCGATTTTTCGATTTTTCGATTTTTCGATTTTTCGATTTTTCGATTTTTCGATTTTTCGATTTTTCGATTTTTCGATTTTTCGATTTTTCGATTTTTCGATTTTTCGATTTTTCGATTTTTCGATTTTTCGATTTTTCGATTTTTCGATTTTTCGATTTTTCGATTTTTCGATTTTTCGATTTTTCGATTTTTCGATTTTTCGATTTTTCGATTTTTCGATTTTTCGATTTTTCGATTTTTCGATTTTTCGATTTTTCGATTTTTCGATTTTTCGATTTTTCGATTTTTCGATTTTTCGATTTTTCGATTTTTCGATTTTTCGATTTTTCGATTTTTCGATTTTTCGATTTTTCGATTTTTCGATTTTTCGATTTTTCGATTTTTCGATTTTTCGATTTTTCGATTTTTCGATTTTTCGATTTTTCGATTTTTCGATTTTTCGATTTTTCGATTTTTCGATTTTTCGATTTTTCGATTTTTCGATTTTTCGATTTTTCGATTTTCTTTTATTGAGTAAATGAGAAGTTAATATTGTTTAACGCCGCACCGCTGTGCCGGTCGGAGTGGGGGGTGTTAGGTTTGTTTTCGTTACGGTTTCGTTTTTTTTTTCTTGATTCGGTCGCCGCGTTCAAAGCCCGCGATAAAAGCTATGCAATAGCTTAAAAAGTAACAAAAGAAGTAACAAAAGAAGTAACAAAAGAAGTAACAAAAGAAGTAACAAAAGAAGTAACAAAAGAAGTAACAAAAGAAGTAACAAAAGAAGTAACAAAAGAAGTAACAAAAGAAGTAACAAAAGAAGTAACAAAAGAAGTAACAAAAGAAGTAACAAAAGAAGTAACAAAAGAAGTAACAAAAGAAGTAACAAAAGAAGTAACAAAAGAAGTAACAAAAGAAGTAACAAAAGAAGTAACAAAAGAAGTAACAAAAGAAGTAACAAAAGAAGTAACAAAAGAAGTAACAAAAGAAGTAACAAAAGAAGTAACAAAAGAAGTAACAAAAGAAGTAACAAAAGAAGTAACAAAAGAAGTAACAAAAGAAGTAACAAAATAAACTAAATTTAAAAAATCTGATGTGCCCAACACATGACTTTCCTATCTAGTTATTACAGGCTTTTTCCGGTTATTTTGTAAAATGTATTAAAACACCTCTGTAAATGTTTAGAGAATAAACTAAATTTATACATTTTCCACATATTTCTAATAGACCGTCAGATAATGACTGATTTAGGTGCCCCATTTTCGCATACAAGCCTCGAAGAGGGTTGAAAAGTACATAGATTTTGAGTAGAATGAAAAGAAAATTTACGAATGGTCCCTGGGGATAACATATGGAAAATTCGATTTTCCTTAACAGAAATAGAAGGTGTTTTTTGCTCATTTTTCCACGCAAGCCGTTTTCACTATATGATTATTTAATAGAACTAGGCTTCGGAAAACCAAAGGCTTTAATGTTGTAAGTGGCTAAAGGGTTGAAATAAGCCTGTCAGAAGTATGAATACATACAGTGCATTTTGGAGTCGGAAAAATTACCCCAAATTTTTTTTTATTTTTGAGTTATTTTTTCATGCAAGCCTTTTTAACCATAGAATATTATTAATGTGTTGGACGTAATAATAAAATTGGCATGAGTATCGGATGTGGATGAAGGCTTGCGTCGGAAAGTTGCAGGAAAATTGTATAAAAAATGCCACCATTTTCCCACGCTTATCGTTTGACATGTGCTTAGAAAAAGTGATTCTAAGACTATATAACAAAAGGCTTGAGTGTCGGACATGGTCATCATATAAATTATATATAATTTATTTAACAAAAAACTGACAAAAAAAGTTTATAAATTTCCACCATTTTCCCACACTTGGCATATGACTATCAACAATTTATTAATTTAAATACATATTGGTACAATGAAAATAATTATTGATAAACGTCAAAATTTGACGGTCCTGTTAGTTAATGTATTGTTGTCGATGTGGTTACTACGGAAATGAAATTATTGTAAATATTTTTGATTGGTGGAGCTACTCTATGTATAATCAGGTATTATCGAAATTATACGAGGTAACTTAACTAAATTGAACGTTCTAATTGGTTAAAAGTTATACGAAAAAAATAATCATATTAATAATACATAATTTATTTAACAAAAATCTAGAAATGTCCACCATTTTTCCACACAAGCCGTTTGGCATAGTAATTTTAACCCTATAATGAAAGGCATAAGCGTCGAAAAAAGATCTGTCAGAAAATGTAGAAATGTTTATGAAGGGTTATTATTTTAAATGAATAATTTAGCATACAGTTCCTTCTCGTATAAGTATAATAACGTTTTATATTATGAAAATAATGCGCAAGATATGGGTCTTCATATTATGGTTTTCATATAAAAAATATCCAATTAATTTTAAAAATATTGATAATGTTAGTTAATTTTAACGACTAATTTTATACATTTTAAATATTTATTACCTTGACGCTTTTTCAAATGATTGTAAAAATTTAAATATTTCATTTGATTAACTAAATAGATGTATATCACAGACTTACCAATTATTTAATTTGAAGAAAAATAAGTAATTTAATAAACACAACATTCTGTGACTTGAATTTTGACCAAAAAAGTTTAATTATAAAAATAGGAATAATTAATAACGCACAATAATTATTTAATCCGATAATTTGTATGTTTAAGACAGTGAAATAATTTAACAGATTATAGTCCTATCAACTCATCAAAAATCATAGGTACTTCAACATTTTCTAATCGACTTCAAAAGATTTATCCCATGACATTCTTGATTACTTTAATATCTTATATTAATGAAAGTTCAAATTGTTGTCTCCATAGAATACTTGATTGTCATCATTAAATTCTAGGATATCTACTTTTTCATGTTTAGTAGCTGCATTTTTATGTTATACATACATTAATTTTATAAAAATTCAAAATGGACCAACATATCTTTGTAACCAATCTGTTAATAGGGCCAAGTCTTTTCACTTCTGAGTAAAGTTGAAACTACTTGCTGATTAAACTATAGGAATATTGTTTGTTAATCTGTCAAGTAAACCTGCATGGTACTTTACTCAGAGGTTAAAAGATCGACAGGTATTTTAAAGTTTATATTTAATAGCCCTTTGAAAGAATATATAAATTTTTCTATAAAATAAACATTTAGCACTAAATTCATATTAAAATGATCACCGAACAATAAATAATAATAACCCTGCATAAATATTTATTTGTAAATTTTTTTGTCAGTTCTTTTTTAGATAAATAATATGCTCCATGTCCGATACTCAAGCCTTTTGTTATATCGTTTTAGAATTACTTTTTTTAAGCATATGACAAACGGTTTGCGTGAGAAAATGATGGAAATTTCTAAATTTTCTTGTCAGGTTTTTGTTAAATAAATTATAAAGATATAAATAATTTGATGGCCATGTCGTGGGAAAATTGTGTCAATTTGCACACATTTTTCCAGCAACTTTCCAATGTTCTGAAAA